GTTCAGAGCGTTGATGGTTCTGTCCTCGGGGAGTCAGAGTCAGGCTGGAAGTTTGGATGGAGTGGGAGTGTGTATGAGTGTTTGTGTCTTTGTGTCGTGGTAAACACACACACACACTCACTGCGGTCACTCCTGACTGATTCTGATTCTGATTCTGGTTCCTGCAGCTGGGAGATGATGGACTCTGGAGGAGGACCAGGCTCCAGAACCGGACCTCAGCTCAGCGACTCTCTCAAACTCTTCCTGAAGGAGACGTCGGCCTTCAAACAGCAAAACCCGGGAAAGGTGGGTGAGAGAACCGCAGGGTTCTGTTGGTTCCACCTCCGACCTCTGGGGTTCTTCATCCTCTTTTCCCGACCTTCTCCCGCTCTAGTTCTGCCTGCTGGTCTGCGGTCTGTGCACCTTCTTGGCCGTCCTGGGACGATACGTCCCCGGGATCTTCATCTCCTACATCCTAGGTGAGTGGTGGACCGGCGCTGGCGCTCCTGGGCCGGTCCTGCCCATGGTCCTGCCCACGGTCCTCCCCATGGTCCTGCCCACGGTCCTCCCCATGGTCCTGCCCACGGTCCTCCCCATGGTCCTGCCCACGGTCCTCCCCATGGTCCTGCCCACGGTCCTCCCCATGGTCCTGCCCACGGTCCTCCCCATGGTCCTGCCCACGGTCCTCCCCATGGTCCTGCCCACGGTCCTCCCCATGGTCCTGCCCACGGTCCTCCCCATGGTCCTGCCCACGGTCCTCCCCATGGTCCTGCCCACGGTCCTCCCCATGGTCCTGCCCACGGTCCTCCCCATGGTCCTGCCCACGGTCCTCCCCATGGTCCTGCCCACGGTCCTCCCCATGGTCCTGCCCACGGTCCTCCCCATGGTCCTGCCCACGGTCCTCCCCATGGTCCTGCCCACGGTCCTCCCCATGGTCCTGCCCACGGTCCTCCCCATGGTCCTGCCCACGGTCCTCCCCATGGTCCTGCCCACGGTCCTCCCCATGGTCCTGCCCACGGTCCTCCCCATGGTCCTGCCCACGGTCCTCCCCATGGTCCTGCCCACGGTCCTCCCCATGGTCCTGCCCACGGTCCTCCCCATGGTCCTGCCCACGGTCCTCCCCATGGTCCTGCCCACGGTCCTCCCCATGGTCCTGCCCACGGTCCTCCCCATGGTCCTGCCCATGGTCCTCACGGACCGTCTCTTCCTGTCTGCAGTGCTGGCCGTCTTCCTGTGGCCTCTGATCACCTCTCCTGAAGTCGGACTTTGGCTGGAGCCAGTTCTGCAGAAACTGGACCTGGGCGTCAGAGACGTGCTTCAGAAAATCAAACAGAACCACGGTAACAAAGAGGACGAAGACGAAGTCTGTCCCTCCAGAACATCACCTGTCATTTCAAACGCTTCGTCTTCTCCTTCCAGAACAGAGGATGTTCCGGACCCAGACGGACAAGGACAACGTGGAGTCTGACTTGTCCTCCATGTTTCCCAAGGTTTGTGATTGTCTCAGCACCAAGTCACATGTGACAGAACAGCCAGAACCAGAACCAGAACCAGAACCAGTTCAGAGGCAACAACAGTGGATCAAAGCCACCATCATAAAAAACACAAAAACAGTTGAATCTGAAAGGAGTAGTAGTACAAATACAGTCGTACTAGTAGTAGTAGTAGTAGTACTAGTACTAGTACTAGTAGTAGTTCTAGTACTAGTAGTAGTACTAGTAGTAGTAGTAGTAGTAGTTCTAGTACTAGTAATAGTAGTAGTAGTAGTTCTAGTACTAGTAATAGTAGTAGTAGTAGTTCTAGTACTAGTAATAGTAGTAGTAGTAGTTCTAGTACTAGTAATAGTAGTAGTAGTAGTTCTAGTACTAGTAGTAGTAGTAGTACTAGTAGTAGTACTAGTACTAGTAGTAGTAGTAGTAGTACTAGTAGTAGTAGTACTAGTAGTAGTAGTACTAGTAGTAGTAGTAGTGGTACTAGTACTAGTACTAGTAGTAGTAGTAGTAGTACTAGTACTAGTACTAGTAGTAGTTCTAGTACTAGTAATAGTAGTAGTAGTAGTTCTAGTACTAGTAGTAGTAGTAGTTCTAGTACTAGTAATAGTAGTAGTAGTAGTTCTAGTACTAGTAATAGTAGTAGTAGTAGTTCTAGTACTAGTAATAGTAGTAGTAGTAGTTCTAGTACTAGTAATAGTAGTAGTAGTAGTTCTAGTACTAGTAATAGTAGTAGTAGTAGTTCTAGTACTAGTAATAGTAGTAGTAGTAGTTCTAGTACTAGTAGTAGTAGTAGTAGTACTAGTAGTAGTACTAGTACTAGTAGTAGTAGTAGTTGTAGTACTAGTACTAGTAGTAGTAGTACTAGTAGTAGTAGTACTAGTAGTAGTAGTAGTGGTACTAGTACTAGTACTAGTAGTAGTAGTAGTAGTACTAGTACTAGTAGTAGTAAAGTCACTCATTAGCGTTCTTTGGTTCTTGGTCCAACAGCTGGACTCTACCGTGTGCAGGGAAATGTCGGTGTCGGACACAGAGGTTTCGGACGTCACGTGGACGGACAACGGTACCTTCAACATGTCGGAGGGAAACACTCCACAGACGGAAAACTCCGAGGGTGCGTTCTCTGAAGTTTTAGGATTTGTAAACATCACCAGGAACTAGTGAAACCCTGAAGATCCAGAGTGTATTTTTTCACAGCAGGAAATAGTACCAGGAACCAGCGTTCATGGCACTTCCACTGTTATAACTAGCACTAGAAGCTAGGGGGCGTACTACAGTTCTTATCTGAAGTTGTTACAAATCTTCTAATGGGTTCTTCTTCTGTCTCAGACCTGGACAAGGAGGAAGCGTTCACCACTGGTTTCCCAGAATTCCCTTCCCACGACAACACCACCAACGGAGACGACGACTACGACCTGAGCCTCGGCTTTTCCTCACCGCAGGCTGAACCTCGACAGCCAATCGGATCTCAGAATCCTCTTGGAGTCCAGTCCACAGACCAAGCCCTGGAACTGGTCAACCAGATGGCGGAAAACTTCATCGCTGCCGCCGTCACAGCCGCCATCCAGGAGAGGATAGGCGCGGCGGTGGCCGGCTCCGCAGACGCGCCCAGACGTCAGGACGACAGGCTGCTGGAGGTGGACGAGGACTCGGACAGCGAGGTGGAGGACTTCGAGCTGCTGGACCAGTCCGAGCTGGAGCAACTGGACCAAGAGCTAGGACTGGGAGACAGCAAGGAGGGCAAAGACGACGGGTCGCCCTCTACTGGATTCTTCAACAAACTCCTGCGACGCCACTGACTGGACGGAGGTGGGACGGACTGAGGGACGGGGGGAGGTGGACCCCAGGCCAGAGCGTCTGGTTCTTGGATCCACTCTCCTCTTCAGTTGATTTTAGTGGATGTGTTTCAGTCGTTGATGTAAAATCTGGATTAGCCGGATTAGCTTAGCATACGGCATTTATCCTCGGCCTGTGTTGTCGACTGTGGGCTTTCTTTAAATAAATCGTATTGTTGTTTTTCCTGGAGAGGAGTTTCCAGTCATTTCACTCTTTGACACAGACCCTGGTCACAGACCCTGGTCACAGACCCTGGTCACAGACCCTGGTCACAGACCGTCCAGGATCCTTCTTTCTTTTTATTGTCACAACCTCAAGAAACGAGGAAATGCTGATTTTTTTTTTGTCTTTAATTTTTGTAAAACAAAGCAAACAAAACAAAGACCTCACAAAGATCCAAACAGATCCACACCTGGATCAAGGAAGACTGATCCAGGACCTCCTGGATCAGGGTTTCTGTCCAACACACCACGACGCCCGTCACTCCGCCCACAACCGTCCAACCTCAGTGCTGACCTTTTCGCCTTCTCCTTCTCTGTCATCCGCCAGGACTGAGGGGACCAGGACTGAGGGGACCAGGACTGAGGGGACCAGGACTGAGGGGACCAGGACTGAGGGGACCAGGACGTTCCTCAGCTGCTCTGAAGTCCTTGTTTGTGGATCCACTGCTTCTTCAGCCTCTCTGCTTTGACCCTCTGCTCAGAGGCTGCAAATAAAACACACACACACACACGAGCCTTAAATACACTTTCAGTCTGGAGAAGTCTGTGAAATACATGTTGGCCACCAGGTGGCGACTCCACCTAGGCCATTTTCTAATATCCAAAGGTGAATGTTTTAATGAATGGAGACTGTGCCAGCAGCAGCAGCAGCAGC